CCGAGATAGAGCAACCGGTTTTCCACCACTAAGCAAGATCGACTGTGCTGCCCCGTGAAGCAGACATTCGCCATTACGGATGTGGCTCCTGCTAAATTATCGACTCCACTCTGTCCAGCCAGTCTTTAATGCCAACCAGCGCCTTACGAAGATGCTCGATTTGGGGGGCATGGGGAAAGTGCCACCCCTCCGTAGCCTCCTCATCCCGGTGCTCGTGGTGGCCTATGCGCGCCTCTTGTTGACTGTCGCAGCTTTGAACATACCTTAGTAAATGCTTGTTCTGAGAAAGACAGAGGAGCTTCTCACTTACTCTCTTCATCGTCCATGTGGGTGCGCTTCTTACTGGCTGGCCGGGGTTCCCGACTGAAAGTAGAGCTGCTGTTATCGAGACAAGCCTGGGCCTCGCTCTTGATACGGCCAAATACGTGTTGCATGGCTTTGGGCGTACGACCAGGAAGCTTGATTTTCGCCATGTCGATCTTTGCAGGAGGATGCTGTAGGATGATCTGGATGAGGAGTTGAACCTTGGGATACTGTGAGTACGTGCAGTTGAACCATTGGAGAGAATGAACTCATACCCGCTCTTTATCGGTCCAGCTACCGGACTTGGGAGTCTCCGAGGGAGCGTTGCTCGACATGTTTGAATGGTGTGAAGTGGTTAGATGGGTGAGTTATTGCTTGTGAGAATCCAATGGGAGTATCGACCGCTGTAGTTAATGTAATATGGAAATGATGGCATGAAGAAAGCTTTGCTGAAGGTTCAGGAAGGGGATGGTTGGAAAGGGAAAGAGGACCTAGAGTTATGACAAGCAGTCACGTTATGGGGTTCCAGTTTTTGGTGCTGCCTGGATAAGTACCTCAGGTTCAGCAGGAACTTAAAAGGTCTTGGGAGTCCTGAGACTAAGAGCACTGGCACATTATCCAGAGGATCACTTCACTGTTGACTAAGGTATCTCGTGTTGATGAGAATTGCCGCTACTATTCCTGCCTACCTAGGTGTTCCGTTTGATTTTCGTATAACCCTAATCCACTTCTCAGATGATGATGGCTCTTGTCATACACCCGCCTATCTATTCTAAAACTATTGACTGCACGACTGCAGCTCCAACACCACAACTCTGAATTCTTTGCCGGTTTGCCTGCCTTTTCCCACCTCTCTGTGCAGTAACTTTTGAGTACGGTCCTTTGTAACCCTCGAGACATTGACAAGTCTCGGACTCACGGCCTACGTCTACCACTTCATCATTGCTTCTAACTCGACTCGGCCATTCCCCCAATATGTGACCTGGAGACAGGCCGTTGACGACCTTGACATCGGGCCCTCTTTGAATGCCTCTATTTGCGAGTCGGTTAGATCAGATCCTTTCAGATAGAGTATCTAGGGCTGCAACCTAGTGGTATAAGGAGGATGGAAAAAGGCCAACATACCAACAGAGCATCTTTTCTCGCAAATTCTTCGTGGCAAAGGCTGCAGGCGAAACGTTTCCCTTGACCATGTACATGCATGTGGCGCTTTCTATCATGCTTTCTTTGAAACCTGAGTCCACATATTGGGCAGCTAAAAGGCCGTGTTTGAGATGGAGCCGGTGGCGGGACAGTTGGATTGATAGTTCCTCCTGATGAGGGACTCGGCGGTACATCTGGTGGACCCATCGACGCCACAGGCATAGCTAGATTGTGGTGCTGTGGGCTGTGGTTCGGATGTAAGCTTGGAAGACCGGGCGCATTCTGGGCCAACGGGGGTAGTAGTGCGTAGTTGACGGCAATCCCATGTCCAATCTGGAAATTGTGTGCTAGGTACTGTAGTTGCCCCTGCGTTGAAATTTGTGGATATACCCGAGCTTGCTGATGGCATGGTATTCGGGACGGGAACGGACCTAGCGCCTCTGTCTGCGGCTGCTGGAGGGATAAATAATTTTGTCCCTGATGCTGAAAGGAAACCTGAGCTTGGAAATGGTACGGCGCTTGATTACGAATAGGCGCTGGTACCTGCATCTGCTCCCGTGTATGCGCCTGTGCCTGCATCTGCTCCTGCATCTGGGCCTGCACCGGCGTCAACATCGGTGGCTGGCGAGGCGCTGGATGCCGGGCGTTACTGAAGCCACTTGCATTCGACCATGTTTGTTGCCAGGGTAAGTCCTGTAATGGCATGGAGGATGACCACTGTGACATTGTACCAGCTTTGAAACGAAACCAGAGGTGTTTTCGGGCAAGTCGTACAGTTCTGTATCAAGATAATCGATTTGCACAGTTGTTACGTCCATGAGAACATTTCAAGACGAGTATCAGCAGCTAGGAAATCCATTTATACCTTGTACATGTGTGCGGGTCTTGTACGCCTTCGGTGACGCTGACAGCAAGGTGTCAACACACTGGAACTCTGAATCCAATACGCTGTTCTAGTCACAAGTTGCAAGAAAGTTTTCACCATACAATTCAGAACCATCAGGGTCCAGGCGACGCTGCAAAAACACGCGAAATGGCCCGATCATGCAACATGTCTCTTTCCTGGATGCGAACTTGGTTTGAAATATCGATTTTTAGGCCTCGTTCCTCACGCAGAAGCGATACCCCGAAGAATACCCTTGTAGGCAGGCTTCTTGTTGTACTCATCGTCCCAGGCAAGCGCCGCACCTTCACCGTCAAAGGTATAAGGGATCCAAGAGTACTTGTCCGAGATGCCCTACAGAGGTCAGCAAATGTCATGACAGAGAGGCGAGACCAGACGCAACCTACCCAGAGGGTAACACCGATACACCGGTCGTTGGACATGCAAGAGGCGAGGACGCGCTCGTATTGGCGAGCCTGCTCCTCGAGCTTGGCGGGCGTGGCGGGGGTATTCATGCGGGATGTCAATTTCAGTGTACTCGACATCCACCTCGAGGTCGGTGAACTGTCGGAGAGCACCTTCCAGGGTGTCCTGGTCTGGAGTGGGCACAGATTGAGTGGGAGTCTCCTCAACGACCAGGTGGCCCTGGAGACCGACGCCGTCAATCCGTACGCCGTAGACTGGACGAGCTTGACGATGCGAGCGGGCAGCAGCCGTCTTAGCCTTCGTTGTACTCGAGGTTGTAAGTCGTTGTACCAAGACGAGCGTGAGGGTCGGCCTTGGCGGCAAGGGCAAAGCGATGGGGATGTAGGCCTCGATACGAGCCGTCTTCTTCGAGGGCTTCGTTGACCACGTCCCAGTGGGTGCACTTGCCCTTGTAACGGCCAGCGACGCCGTTGATGTGATCCTCCATGATCTGGATGAGGGTGGCATTGTCGAAGCCGCCCTCGGAGACCCAAGGGGCGAGCTGGCTGTGCCACACAAGGGCGTGGCATCTCAGGTCCTTGCCGTGCTCGACGGCCCAGTTGACGTGGCGGTCGGCATCAGCCCACTCGAAGGCCCCGCGCGCAGGCTCGGTGTAGGCCCACTTGAGAGCATTCTCGGGGGTGACGGCGCCGATCTCGAGGTCGCTTTCCAGGATTGCGTTCTCGAGGGGCTCATCGCGAAGCGTCAGGGCCGAGCCACGTGCTCTTTGCCTTGGGCACGAATGGCCGCATTGAGGCCGGTGCACTTGGGCTTGGCAGCCGCGAGGCCAGCAAGACCAAGAGTGAGGAGGGAGAAGTGCATGGTGGGGGAGAGGGGCAGGTATGGAGGGCGATGACGCGAGGCAAGTCGAGTCGGTGCTCAGACTCTAGAATAGAACTTGTCACGATGAGCAGGAGGTGCCCTCTTTGTAGGCCCGACATTGCCTTGGTCTTGCGGCGGGGCTCTCTCGACACCGACAGACATCAGGCTGTAATGTTGCCATCGGCTGGTACCGAGAGGTTGCCCCCTGCCCGTCCAGCCAGGTCGCTGCCCAGCGTGGGATAAAGTCGCGGTCGGGGCACATTGCTGAATCTGGGGATGGCGATGGGGTCGATGGAGTCGATGGAGAGGGGATAAGCCCGCTTGGCGTTGGGGATTTTCTGCGCCGGCGTCCGGGTGAATGCAGTTGGCTAATATGGGGGAGTCTGGGGCGATGTCACACTGCCGGGCCCGCTCCTCAATTAGCCATGCCACCTCTATTTAGGCAATACGCGGCCCCTGAAAATGGTGATGTTGCTAGGTCACGAGAGAAGCCGTGTGGTTGGTCTTTGACCACGTTGAGACCCAGTCGAGCGGTCGGGCTCCCACACTGCCCCTGGCACCTTCTCCGCACGAGAGACGCATTATTTGTTTGTTCCTGGTCCTGAATTTGTGTCGCTTGTTGACCTCGGCTCTCCCAACATTGTCGTCATGAAGTGCGGGCAGGGAATGCAAGTCCGTATTCATTACCAAATCTACGCCCAACGCCAATGCCATCCAGATCTAGAAAGTCTACACGCCTCCAACGCCATTCAAGAACACGCCTCCAATATCATCCCTCCGAACAAACGCGGGAGACATCATTCCTCCTTGTGTATCTCGATGCCAGCCGGGGCTCCCACCAACGTCTTGCACTGCGCGTAAATGACAAACTGGCCAGCGACGAGGCCGCACGTCATGAAGACCCTCGGCCCCAGTCCCGTCAGCAGCAGCCTCTTCGGACCAAACTCCTTGGCGAGCTGAAACATGCGGCTCGTGGCGCTCTGCTTGGGGTCGCCGGCTCCTTTGTTCATGGCAGAGAGCAGTGTGTCGGCTGGATGAGACAGCACAGCGGCGGCCACACCAGCGACTATGCCAGAAGACAACTCAACGCCCGTGTTTTGCAGGTGTGTCAGCTTCTCCTTGCGTTCCGAGCCGATGGTGCGGTAGATGGCCTCGACAGCAGCCTCGTGCACGGAAAACTGGCCCACGGCGTAGGGCACCTGCTTGAACAGCAGCGGCACGAAGCCCGAGTAGAACCCCTTGAATCCTTCCTCTCGTGCGAGTCTCGCGAACCCAGAAGTCAACCCGTTGGCGTAGCCGCGCTGCGAGACGAGACGGATGCGCGTGGCCTCCAGGGGGCACAGGAGGATGTCGGCGAAGAACTCGGCTGCCGCGCTGGCGCCGAGATAGATGGCCGTGCGCTTCTCTGTCGCCTGGCTGGGCCCGCCGGCCGCCGAGATGAACTGCTTTTTGAAGAACTCATAGCCGGCGAACTTGCCGCCACCCTGTACGAGGTATCCGACGGCTGTAGGACCGAAGCCAGTCAACAACGCCGATGCGCCTTCCTTCGCGACAATGGTTCTTCCGGCTCGCAGCATGTTGTAACCCTTGAGCGCGTCATCGACCTGGATTCGCGTCTTGACGACATCGATTGGCGTGGCAGCCTGACACATTTAGCCTCAGACGGAGGAACAGAGAGAAAGCAGGAAGCATACGCCATGGGTCGAGGTGGCTGCGAGGGCGCCAGCCCCGAAGAACTTGACATAGTCGCCAATGGTGAAAGTCGGCAGCTCGTCCTTAGTCGCCATTGTGTCGTGTTCGTCAGAGGAAAAGAGGGCGGGATAAAAGTAGGAGGCTTTCGCGCAGAGTTGCAAGAGTGAAAATAAAAACGAGGCAGCGTGATCTACTGGGAGTGTGAGAACAGCCAGGAGCAAAAGCTTTGCTTATTTCCAAGAAGAAGAGGCTTGACAAGGGTTTATCCTCAATTGATGATGCAAACAGCCAGTGACGTCACATGTCCGATGGCCGAGTACCCCGTAAGCAAGGTCCCGCCAGAGCCCTGCTGGACACCCACTAAAAGCTCCCTCTGAACTGTTTGCTATACCCGGGGGCTGGGTCGACTGGCCTGACACGTTCTCCTCCACAGCATGTGCCTATGCTGTCAGTGAGGGCATTCCCACTGTTGGTGCCGTCTATCCGTTATCCCTCCGACGGCGTCCCATAGCTTTACCATCGTAAAACCCGCTGTCCACGCCAGCTCGGGATGCGCGGGCGCTTTGCGGATCGACTCGGCAATTGAGCAGCCACATCAAGAAATGAATCTGTTGAACATCGCCCTCTGGCGTCATCCTCCCCACCTTTCTTCAACTGACGCCTCTCCGTCGGACATCGCGACGAACAGTCCGCCGTCGAGTCCTACTCCGACAGAGGCACAGAGAAATCGTACAGGGGCTTTTCAAGTACAAGAATTTCTGGAGGCTGACACTGATTCCATTTGTCCATTTTTGTCTCAAGAAGGCACTCCAACACTTCACAGGGCCCCTTTCTGAAGCCATCGTCAGAGCATTTGACCCTTCATGATAATTCAAAACACTTCGTTCAAAGGACTCCACCTGGCCATGAGTTACGCTGAAAACTGTCAATTCCCTTGATCGCTGAACAGACCAGCTTCTCTCAATCACCTATTCGTTCATCTTGGCCACTTCCTTGACCCCGATTGAACATTGCATACATAACCGCTCGAGAGGTCTCATGACACATTGCTGGTGATGGACTTCGAACTATGTAGCTCAGGTGGCATGTGGCTAGCCCAGCGAACAACAGGAATTGTCTCACTCACCGCTACACTCGATTAGTCTTTAACCATCGGGATCATTATGTCTGCCTTTTTGTTGGTTGTTTACTTCTGGTGATTGAAGAGCGAGCCCGGCTCAAGCTTTCAGCAAACTCTCAAAGGCAGAACATCATCTCATGCGGAGCTTTTAGGTTGCCAAGCGTGTTGTTCACCCGCCGTGAACAGTGACATATATGATCAAGATACCCTGCACACCAAGATGATAGCTGTTGTCGAAGATCACGACGTATCCAGCAGAACTAATGTGCGCTAGGAAATCACAGACCTACATTGACGAGTTTCAGTGCTGGCATCATTAGGTATAATCACTCAGCGCCTGAGACTTCATCGCATTTCAGCGCGCTGTATCTGGGCGAATGGTTGATATTATCACGGGAAAAATCAGTGCCAACCTCACGCATATTTAGAGATTGATATATGACCCTGTCTTCAACTCTCCAGCTCACTGGCCGATTGTCTTCAGGTCTTTCAGTCTACTAACTGATCATGCATCCCGCTTCGTCCGTCGTCCAGTGCCCGCTTTCCAGTGCCCAGTTTCCAGTTATCGTTGTCCGGTTCTTTCTATGGAGTCCGGTCCAGGGCCCAACTACCATCTTGATCCCCGTCCGGCGGTCGTCCCGGGAACCTTCTTCGGTCCTGATATCACCCTTGCAAATGGGAAGTCACTCAACCCTCTCTGTCTCTCTCCCTTTCTGTCTCCATCTCTCTAAAACCCAGTTCTCACAAAGCTTTCCTCTGTTTTCGTCTACTCCTTCATCACTTCCACCTCCCCGTGACCTTGATCATGGCTTCTGCGGGAGCTCCTGCTGCCACTGGAGACTCGATCGAGCTTCCCATCGTGGACAACGACCAGAACTTCATCATCCGGGAGTGTAGCAACGCGATCGCAAAGCTCATCGTTCTTTCCAAGAGGCAGCAAGCGCCTACCGATGAGGTTCGCCGAGTGATCCTCTTCTTCAACTGGCTGGAGACCCGGACTTGGGGACCATATCACGTTACGGCAGATATCAAGAAAAAGCTCATCAATAGTCTTGCCGCCATCAACAACAATAACCGTCCTGAAGGCCTGCGATACTTCACACCCGAGATTCGGACTCGGGGCCGAGGCTCTCCATACACGCTGGACAGCCACCAACCTCGAAGACGAGATCGTTGCCACCGGTTCCGACAACGACGACGATGATGGCGGCAGCGGCACTGAGGCTATCGTAGCCTCTTCGACCAGGAAGCATTCCTCTACGGCTCTCAACACCGAAACCCTGCGTCTGCCCCATCGCGCCCATCCCATCTTTGGTCGAAATGGCATCATGCATGGCCTCTTCATTACTGTTTCAAAGCGTAAGACATACGGAATCAACCCTATCTACAAGAACGAACAGCGCGACTCCTCCCAAATCGGCGACAACGGGCTCACCGCCGGCGACTGGTGGCCTCTTCAGTCGGCGGCCGTCTTCAACGGCGCTCACGGCTCGTGGTCTGGCGGTATTGCGGGCAAAAAGGAGGGCGGCGCCGTCTCGATCGTCACCTCGGGCTACTACGAAGACCTTGACCGAGACGACGGGGACACTCTTTTTTACTCGGGCTCGGGAAGCCACGACAATACGAACCCCACCGTCATCAAGGATACCAGCGGAACGCAGCTGATGCGTACGGCCCAGAACAAGGGTAATCACATTCGCGTACTGAGGTCGTCCTCGAGCGGTGGTGGTTCGTGGTGCCCTTCCATCGGCATTCGCTACGATGGCCTTTACGGTATTGTTGGCAGACGGACTCTCAAGAACAGGCTGGGCGGGGTGTACGAACAGTTTGAACTCCATCGCCTGCCGGGGCAGCAAGCTCTCAACAGCATTCAGCGTCGAATTCCGACAGGCCAACAGAAGCGTCTGTATGAGGAGATGAAGAACGGTTACTAGGGGCTGTCGGGAAATGTCTTGCGAGGCTGTCACTGAATCAAGGGACTTCGATTGGCATGGCTATGGAATGGTTCCGTGTTTTGGTCTCTTTTTCAAGGTTATTCTCGTTACGGGTCTCATTCTCTGGATGGACTATAGGAATCTTGATTCGTTCGTCCTGCATCAATGATCACAACCGTTCTGTTGTCCTACTACTACCTACCCACACTGCGTGCGGCGCTTCGAACTGTGACTCGCAATGAGCTCCTACGTCAGCATTAGCCCACCCCGTGGCGACCAGAGTTGAATAGCGAGAGAACAACAGTGTCCTAAGGACACTAAGTAGGTTGTAACCCTACTTGTGGTTGCGGACCCCTGAAACTTGAAGGCACCTCAAGTAAGAGGTGATGTTGAAATTTACGGGGGTTCTGCTCGCGATCTGGTGACCGTGTTGGTGGTTATAGGAAGCTGTAAGAAACCGATATATCATTTTTCACGTATGCACGTGCGAAATGACGGCCTCTTGAGCGACAAGTGACGAGCGACTCATACGGGCCAAGACTCTGGTGTGTCACCGAGCATCTCGAGTAAGATATTTCACAGTGCGACCCATTCATCCCTTACGGTACAATGACCCTACGATAAGGAAGGCGGTGGGCGATAAACCTGGCAGCCCGGCAGAAAGACACTTGTTCATTCTTGGGAACATGCTCTCGAGGACAGCGAAGCTACCAAATAGGACTCCAACTTCCATACCCTCGACTTTGCGCCTGTTCAATATTCGCAGCCATGGTATGCTAGCCACTTGAGAACTCCACGGCATTCCCGCTGATGCTTCCAGAACGTCTCCTACAACTCGTCGCTTCGGCAGAGCAAGGCGCTCCGTGCCGACATCGACCGCTTGTCAACAGCAACCCAGGACCGAGTGCTTACACCAGCCGAAATTGGCAGCCTCTCTGCCTCGCTTTCATCCTTCTCCAAGACGGTCGATGAATACAATGGTCTGGCGCGGCAGGAGCTTGTGCCAAAGAAACAAGAGGAGGCACTGGAGCGAGTCAAGCGGTTCAAGGGAGATCTGACAGACTTTCGATCGCGCATCGACACCCTGAAGAGACAACGCGAAGATGCTGCCCACCAAAATAATCGAGCCGAGCTCCTTGGTCGGCGGCCGTACTCTGACGCCACGCCAGAGAACCCTTACGCCAACAACAGCGCCGCAAACACATCCTCATCCTTGCACGCGAGGGGTGCTTCGGTCGGCGGTGCGGAGAGGGGCGCAGGCGGAGGGGGCTACGGCATGGGCAGCGGCGAGCCGTCCAGGGAGCAGCACGCCTTCCGGGAGCAAACTTTCTTCGCCAACACGAACAACGCACTCGATGAGTACATTGCCCGCGGCCGGGCTGTGCTGGGAGATCTCGGGGCTCAGAGGGACATGCTCAAGAACACGCAAAAGAAGCTCTACTCGGTGGGCAACACGCTGGGCATATCCGGCGACACAATCCGCATGATCGAGCGCCGGGCGCGGGAAGACAAGTGGATATTCTGGGCGGGCGTCATAATCTTCTTCGCCTTTTGTTGGCTCTGCCTGCATTTCCTTAGGTAATGGCTGCTCTTTTGCTTTCGACAGCATGGGCAGCGAGGCGCACGGCGTTTGAAGGCAGGCTTTTTCTCGATACAATACCATTGCGACTCTGAAGTCAGCGCCCTACTCCGTCCCCGCAAGTGCAATGGTGAAGATGACCTGATTCGTCGTCTCGACTATTACCGTCTTGGTCTCTGGCAGCACGTGATTGCTGGTGCTGATGCGACCGCCAAGGTGTGTTTCCCAGTTCTCAACATCCCATTCAAGGCCATGAGTCGTGATGACACTGGGTTCACCGAGAGGCACAATACCGACATGCTTTGCGAAGACATCGCCGCCGCCGCCGCCGTCACGGACGTGAATGGCATGCTTGCCGGGCTTCAACAGGAACGTCAGGCTCTGACCCGACAAAAGGAAGACGCGGCCCTGTTCGTAACGGGGCCCCTGCTGGAAGAGATACATGTGATGTAGTTGGCTGATGCCTTGGTCAACGCGGCCACCAAGACCACCGAGCGCTACTATATCGACGTTCGCGCCGTTCTTTGACCGGGCCCAAGAGACAGCCTTGGTAAAATCCGTGGATTCTTGATCGCTGTCGTGGATAATTTCCACCGGCTCATCTTGGAATGCATAGTGGTTGCGGACATTCGGTAGAAGGGAGTCTAGGTCGCCGATGATGGCATCGAGATTGTTCTGGCCATATTAGTATGTGAAGGAGCTTCTAGGTCTGAAAAACAAACATATCGTCTTGTAGCATTCTGCCCATCCAAGTCAAATAGACGGTTCGCTCCGCCATCAGCCGCTATGCGCACGAGTGCTTCATCACGTTAGTACTGGACTGCAGAAGTTTAACATTGAAGTACCATTTTCCCACAACGTTCCAAAAGCCTGGTTCTGTCTGAGGGGTTGGTTGAGAATGACGAGCGAGAATGGCACCCGTGGCTGTGAGTCTGGTGTCTGTCTAAAGAGCACTGTCGGATGCCACTCGAAGTCTTGTGACATCTTGAGTGAAAAAGTGCAATGCGGATGCTACATATGGCGACATACAAGGAAAGGATGCATTCAACCGAGGTCATCCACTCGCCACGTCATGTATGTTGAATATGAACTCGACCGCAATCTTACCTCTTGTCTAGGTACAGGAGCAGCTAATAAGTGAAATCCCAATATTGAGCGTATTCTCGCGGGGCCTGCCCCACCACGTTAACCTTACGAAGGCAATTCACACTTGCGCCGGCTAAACATCGGCTGTGAATGAAGCTGGGATTTTCTTTCCCGAGCCATGTATCGATGATGATTACCAACCGTGGACCTCCGTGGCTCTACTTCGATCCGTACCTGCGAGAAATTGAGAGCTGCCCTTGACATCTCCTCACCCGACATTCATTACTAAATCTTGCGCAATGTATCGTCACACCGTCCGATCAGCACCTCGCGCTGCCAGCACCCTCCGCCAGACGACTCTGCGGTCTACGCCACGACGATTTGCGTCCACAGCTCCCGCCGACAAGCCACGGACATGGAAGGGCAGCGCCTTGCGCTGGGGTCTGGCTGGTGCCGCCGTCTACTACTACAACACGAGTCCCGTCTTTGCCGATGAGCCGGCGCGTATGCAACCCAGTCTCCTATCGGCCTTTGGCCCTGCTAATAGAGGAATAGCTCGTACGATACCGGCACCTTCAGACTTTGCCGCTGCGGATCTCAAGACGGTTGACGCCGTGATCGAAGAGAAGCGCCAGAAGACGATTGTCAAGCCCAAGGAGGCTGCCCCCGCCGCGACTCCCGCGGCTCCCATTCCGTCAAGCGAAACTGCCTCCGAACAGTTGACAGCTGCACCCGGGTCTCCTGAGGCGCTCGAGCAAGAGGCTGGCCAGCAGGGCGCCTTCAACCCCGAAACGGGCGAGATCAACTGGGACTGCCCCTGCCTTGGAGGCATGGCTGATGGACCCTGCGGCGAGGACTTCAAGACGGCATTTAGCTGCTTCGTATATTCGAACGAGGATCCCAAGGGAATCGACTGCATCGAGAAGTTCCAGTGAGTGAAATACATTGAACGAGCGAGATGCAATCTAACAGATTAATAGGGGCATGCAGGACTGCTTCAAGAAGTATCCCGAAATCTACGACCCCGAACTCTCCGATGATCGCGAGGACGAGCCTGTCGCCGACGGCAACGCTGGCGCCTCGCACGAGCCTGAGGTTGCTTCTCAAAACCAGACAACCGAGACTACTGCGGCCAAGGTCAATGATGCCGTTGAGAAGACGACCGAGAAGGCCGCAGAAGTCATGGAGAAGACCAAGGTTAAGGTTGCCGACGTGAAGGAGAAGGTCATCGAGAAGGCCACCGAGGCCAAGGACAAGGTGTCCACAAAGTCCAAGCCGACCCGGATCCAGTCTGCAGATGACACCGACCCAAAGCAGGCCGACGAGGCTATCAAGGCTCACATCAAGCCCGCCTTTTCGGATGCGACGGCGGCCAACGACGAGGTTGCAAAGCTGTGAGACGAGGGTATATGATGGGGACTAGGGCACGGAAAAGCAATGCATTATACGGCGGGGAGCCTGGACATAATGTATTATATGTACAGTCTTGTACAACTGTAACAACAAGCCACGATAGACAACACCTTTCGACACCTTCTCTGGACAGACTATGCGATTCAACCATTTGCTGTAGAGTGATATAGAATGATGATCGCTAACGAAGCGCTGGACTTCAATATGGAGCACTAAGATGAAGCCCTTGCCGCCGTTGAAATCTGTCTATCAATTCCATATGAACTGAGTAGGTACCTCAATCATGGAAGACAACAGGGGCTATTCCGTGGATGCAAAGCCCCGTCGCCCCACCTGATTGGCCCATCCAGCTCGCCAAGCTGCACGAGCCGCAGACGTCATCACATGTGCCCGAAAGCAGCAAGTTGGCAGTAGCCAGTCGCACCACACCACCTACGTCGTGTCCCGGTTTTCCCCTTCACGTGGGAGCTCTTGTGATCTTCATCCTCAATCACATCACCATCACTCTCAACTGTCACATACCGCGCCACTCCTCCGCAATACCAAAACACCATCCAGCAATTCCGATATATTCAGCTAGTCAAGAGTATGTGGTGGCGTCCAACGTCATGGTCAAATATCTACTGACGGCACCCTAGTGTCCGGATCTGAATCGTGGGCCGATGTCGCCTCCAAGGGCCCCCAGCAGACCGCCGAAGAGGTAAGTCGCGTGATATATCTGCGTTCGCTGTTCTTCTGGTCCAGGCACTGACATTTCAGGCCCGTGCGCCCCCTCCCGTCGAGGTCCAGACCGACGCTGAGACGTCGACCTCGTCCCTCGTCGACGTCGACAGCGAGTCCGTCCGCACCGTCCCCTCCGATTACCTTCAGCAGGAGGTGCAGACCGAGACGCAGGCCGATCGTATCGACCGCGAGGAGAAGGCTCGCGCCGAGGCCGAGCTCGCCAAGAAGAAGGCCGCTCACAAGGCCCGCCGTGCCGACAGCTGGCTGACGCGCCAGTTTTCCTCCCTCAGCGACGGCAGCGCTGGCGCCCTCGCCATTGTCAATCTCGTCGGCGTCGTGGGCCTCAGTGGCTTCCTTGGCTACCGCGCCTGGGGTCTGTACGAGCGCGGTCGCCTGAGCTGGCAGAACGTGGGCGTTGGCCTGGGCGTCCTGGGTGTGGTTGGCGTCGTTGAGGGCATTTTCGGAGGGTGAGTGACCCGATTCTGTTTCATTGCTTCCCTAACCGCGCTGACCCTCGTAGCTATCTCTACAAGACGAAGGGCAAGAAATAGATGTAGCACGCACACGATGGGTGGCATAATAGGGGCTCCCAGAGGAGCCGAGCGAAGAGCAGCCTCATGTGACCCGAGACTGAGATAAACGTTCGAAAGCAGTCAGTTGCCGTTTATATCGGTGTCAAAGGGCACAGTGCAACGACAACCGGCACTCTTCTCAGTTTGGTGACGCTTGACATAATTTTGGAGCCTGGGTGGCAGGTACTTTCTACTCGGTCAATTGTTTGGGTTTTCGGTGTACACTAGGTGTTCAGGACAATTCACGCCTTTCCGATTACATTGCCGTGGACTACTGCTTCTGGTCAAAACGACGAAAGGGGAGGAGACTAAAGAACAAATCGTGAAATTCATTGACACGAAGCCACTGATGAAAACTTTCAGCGACAGAGTCCTGCTATCTGTCTGTCACCCTCTCCACCTCTTCCTGCCTCTTCTCTCTCTCTCTCTCCATCTCCAAGAAAATTCCAACAACCGCTGATCTGCTACTATAAAGTTCAGCACTTTGGCTACCGAGAAAAAAAGAGTCGAACGCCCATACGCCTGCCGCGCCCGACCGAGATAATTCTTACATCCCCGAAGACCTGCCCAATACAATCACCACGCTGGCGACACTCTCCAGTTCGCGCACTTCCACGGGCACCGGCAACTTGCGCTCCCCTTGAAGCAAACGGCCTGGCCCTGGGTTCACGTCACGCGGTTGTTGTGCACCTCGCGCAGGCGCTTGACCCAGTGCTTCCGCAACGTGGCGGGCATCTTACAGAAGACCATGGCCTTGTTCTCGTCGGCGAGGGCCTTCTCGGCAATCTTTAGCTGAAGGTCCATGTCTTCGTCGGCAAAGTCGCGGAAGAAGATGTCCATGGCCTGCTCGGGCCAGCGCGCGGCAAGCGGGCCTTGAGCGCCTCGGCGATGCGCAGCAGGCCATCCCTCCATGAGCTGCTTTCCGCGGCTGCCATGG